GGCAGGAAACTATGTAGGAGGGGAGTGGGGAGGGGAAGAGTATGGAGGGGAGCGGTAGAATGGGGGACAGGGGTGGGCACCGTGTGGGAAACTGTATGGGGGGCCTGGGATGGGAACAGTATGGGAAACTGTGTATCGAGGGCCTGGAATGGGAACAGGGTGGGAAACTGTATCGGGGGCCTGGGATGGGAACAGGGTGGGAAACTGTGTATCGGGGGCCTGGGATGGGAACAGTACGGGAAACTGTATCGGGGGCCTGGGATGGGAACAGTATGGAAAACTGTGTATCAGGGTCCTGGGGATGGGTAGAGTGAAGGAAACTGTGTATCGGGGGAGTGGGGATGGGAACAGGGTGGGAAACTGTGTATCAGGGGAGTGGGGATGGGAACAGTAGAGAGGGGAGCGGTGGAATGGGGGACAGGGGTGGGTACCGTGAAGGAAACTGTTTAGCAGGGTCCTGGGGATGGGTAGAGTGAAGGAAACTGTGTAGCTGGGGAGTGGGGATGGGAAAAGTGTAGGAAACTTTATAGAAGGGGAGTGGGGACAGGCACAGTGCAGGAAGCTGTTTATCCAGGGTCTGGGGGTGGGAACAGTGTAGAGAGGAGCAGCAGAATGGGGTACAGTGATTGGTAAGTGGGGTACAGGGGATGGGCACAGTACAGAGGGGAGCAGGATAGTGGGGGACAGGGGATTGGTACTATATAGAAAGCTGTATAGTGGGGACTGGAGATGGGTACAGTATAGGGGGGAGTGGTAGGTTGGAGTACAGGGGACGGGTGCACTATAAAAAATTGTGTAGCAGGGGCCTGGGGAGTGGTACAGTGCAGAAAACAGTTCATCAGGGGCCTGGGGAGTGGTACAGTGCAGAAAACAGTTCATCAGGGGACTGGGAGTGGGCACAGCGTAGAGGGGAGCAGTAGACCAGGGAGCAGCATAGAGAGGAGCAGTATAAAGGGGCCCTGGGAATGGGTAGGGTATAGAAGGGAGCAGAATAGTGGGGGACAGAGGGCAGCTACAATATAGATAAACTGTAGCAGGGGACTGGAGATGAGTACAGTACAGAGGGGGGTAGGAGAGGGGGGTACAGGGAATGGGTGCAGGGTTGAGGGGAGGAGGGTAGTGGCAACCTGGGGGTGGGTGCAGCACAGAAAGCTGTACAGCAGGGGAGTGGGGGTGGGTAGAGTGTAGAGGGGAAGAGTAGAGTGGGGTACAGGGGATGGGTAAGTACAGAGGCTGAGCAGCATAGCAGGGCTCTGGGTGTGGGCACAGTATAGAAAACTGTAGAGCAGGGGAGTGGGGATGGGTACAGCACAGAGGAGGAGCAGGATAGCAGCTGCTGCAGTGGAAGATACAGTACACAAAACTGTATATGGAGACCCCTTCCCTGTGGGTCTGTGGGATGACAGGAGGTGGGTGTGCCCGGGGGGGTGACAGCGCTGTCCCCGCAGGCCTGCGCAATGCCCCGCGCTGCTGGGACGTCATCCAGCCCCTGCTCTGCGCCGTCTACATGCCCAAGTGCGAGGATGGGCAGGTGGAGCTGCCCAGCCAGACCCTGTGCCAGGCCACCCGGGCCCCCTGCACCATCGTGGAGCGCGAGCGAGGCTGGCCCGACTTCCTCAAGTGCACGACCGACCGATTCCCCGAGGGCTGCCCGGTACGGCACGGGGGGCCCTGCCAGGCTGTGTCCTCACAGGGCAGTGGGGGAAAAACATCACTTCTTGGGAAGGGAAAGTGGCTTCTGGGAGGAGAAAAGGGTCAGGGTTGTTCACCTGGAGAAAAGAAGGCTCGAAGGAGATCTTGAGCCCCTTGCAGGGCCTAAAGGGGCTCCAGGAGAGCTGGAGAGGGACTGGGGACAAGGGATGGAGGGACAGGACACAGGGAATGGCTTCCCACTGCCAGAGGGCAGGGACAGATGGGAGATTGGGAAGGAATTGCTGGTTGGAAGGGTGGGCAGGCCCTGGCCCAGGTTGGCCAGAGAAGCTGTGGCTGTCCCTGGATCCCTGGAAGTGTCCAAGGCCAGGCTGGAGCAACCTGGGCTAGTGAAGGTGTCCCTGCCCATGGCAGGGAAGTTGGGACCGAATGAGCTTTAAGGTCACTTCCCACCCAAACCATTCCATGATTCCATGATGGCCCAATGAAACCCCTGCCCTCTGCAGGGGACTGATGTCCCCCTTCACCATGGGGGCATCTCCTCCTCCTCACGGCCTGGTTTCCCCCGCGGCAGAACGAGGTGCAGAACATCAAGTTCAACAGCTCGGGGCAGTGCGAGGCGCCGCTGGTGCGCACCGACAACCCCAAGAGCTGGTACGAGGACGTGGAGGGCTGCGGCATCCAGTGCCAGAACCCGCTGTTCACCGAGAAGGAGCACCGCGAGATGCACGTCTACATCGCCGCCTTCAGCTCCGTCACCATCTTCTGCACCTTCTTCACCCTGGTGAGGCGCGGGGGGGAGCGCGGGGAGGCGTCCCCCGAAGGGCAACGGGGCACCAAGCTGTCACGCTCTCTCTCTCCGCCCCCCCAGGCCACCTTTGTCGCTGACTGGAGGAACTCCAACCGCTACCCCGCTGTCATCCTGTTCTACATCAACGCCTGCTTCTTCGTGGGCAGCATCGGCTGGCTGGCGCAGTTCATGGACGGCGCCCGTGACGAGATCGTGTGCCGCGCCGACGGCACCATGCGCCTGGGGGAGCCCACGTACGTGCCTCCAGCTCATGTCTGAGGGGTGTCCCCCACACCCAGGAGGGCTCTTGGGGTTGGGATTGTGGGGGACGAGACCCCCTTCCTCCTCTCCGTGCCCTCGTGGAGGTGGGTGACGCTTCTGCCTCGCCTGCCCCCACAGGTCCAACGAGACGCTCTCCTGCGTCATCATCTTCGTCATCGTTTACTACTCACTGATGTCGGGAGTCATCTGGTTTGTCATGCTGACCTACGCCTGGCACACCTCCTTCAAGGCCCTGGGCACCACCTACCAGCCGCTGCTGGGCAAGACCTCCTACTTCCACCTCATCACCTGGTCCATCCCCTTCGTCCTCACTGTGGCCATCCTGGCCGTGGCGCAGGTAACGGGGTCACCATCCCGTGGTGGTTCCCCTGCAGGGTGAGTCCCACACGGCCAGCTGACCCCCCTGTCCCTGTCCCTGTCCCCCCCCCCGCCAGGTGGATGGTGACTCTGTCAGTGGCATCTGCTTCGTGGGCTACAAGAACTACCGCTACCGAGCCGGCTTCGTCCTGGCGCCCATCGGGCTCGTCCTCATCGTGGGGGGCTATTTCCTCATCCGGGGTAGGTGTGGGCGCAGCTCCCTGACGGGGTGGGGGCACCGTGGATGTCCCCCCACCCTCACCCCCCCATCCCTCCCCTGCAGGGGTCATGACGCTCTTCTCCATCAAGAGCAACCACCCCGGGCTGCTGAGCGAGAAGGCGGCCAGCAAGATCAACGAGACCATGCTGCGCCTGGGTGAGGGGGTCCACGGGCACCGTTCCCATGGGAACCGGGGTGGAAGTGTAGACATTTTGTCCCCCCTAAAGTCAGACAGCCCTTTCCCAGGAGCGGCAGCAGTGGGGACAAAGATGTAGGGATGTGGCACAGCCCCAGTGCAGCATCTTTGCCCTGATGTCGCTGGGGTTTGGCCAAACCAGGAATGTCCCACTTCCCTTCCAGGCATCTTTGGCTTCTTGGCCTTCGGCTTCGTCTTCATCACCTTTGGCTGCCACTTCTACGACTTCTTCAACCAGGCAGAGTGGGAGCGCAGCTTTCGGGAATACGTCCTGTGAGTGGGACGGGGACGGAGGACGAGTGGGACACCGGTGGCATCCCAGCCCCTCACACACCCCGTGTCCCCCACCAGTGCTGCCACCACACCTCCACCCTGTGGAGCCGTGGGGGGCCGTTGGTGTCCCCCCCTCACGGCCGGCGTCCCGTGTCTGTCCCCTCAGGTGCGAGGCCAACGTGACCATCGCCACGCAGACCAACAAGCCCATCCCGGACTGCGAGATCAAGAACCGGCCGAGCCTGCTGGTGGAGAAGATCAACCTCTTCGCCATGTTCGGCACCGGCGTCTCCATGAGCACCTGGGTCTGGACCAAGGCCACTCTGCTCATCTGGAAGCGCACCTGGTGCAGGTGGGACCCCGAGGATGCCACCCCAGCTTCGTGGGGCCCTTCCCGCCCCACCCAACATCCTGAGATGTTGGAAGATGTCCCCAGATATTTGTCCCTCAGCTCAGTGAGTTGTGGGCTCAGCGGTGTGGGAATGAGGTGGCATCTCCCTCACACCCTGTTCATGGGACACCTGCACCCCCAGGGGACTCATCCAGTGCATCCCCCAGACTGGTATCCCCATCCAGAATGGGAGAGGGAGATGGGGAGGGTCCCTGTGCCCCTGGCTGTGCCCTGAGCCCCACCACTTCCCTGCTCTGACCCTCCGTGTGCCCAGGCTGACGGGGCAGAGCGACGACCAGCCCAAGAGGATCAAGAAGAGCAAGATGATCGCCAAGGCCTTCTCCAAGCGCAAGGAGCTGCTGCGGGACCCGGGCCGGGAGCTGTCCTTCAGCATGCACACCGTGTCACACGACGGCCCTGTGGGTACGTGCCCGTGGCAGGGGACTGTCCCAGCAGCACCCCGGGGTCCCTGGTGGCCCCCCTTGACCAGACCCCCCTGTCATTGCAGCCGGTTTAGCCTTCGACATCAACGAGCCGTCGGCTGACGTGTCCTCGGCCTGGGCCCAGCACGTCACCAAGATGGTGGCCAGGAGAGGGGCCATCCTGCCCCAGGACATCTCCGTGACACCCGTGGCAACACCTGGCAAGTTCCACGTGGGGCGTTTCGGGGGGGACACGGGGCTGAGGGGCGTTGGGGATGCGCTGGGAGGCAGAGCCGGGGGGCTGGGGCTGGTGGGGGGCACAGGGCAGGATGTGGCCGCTCTCACCTGCCCAATCCCACGTCCCGCAGTGCCACCGGAGGAGAGGGCCAACCTCTGGATCGTGGAAGCCGACATCTCCCCCGAGCTGCAGAAGCGCAGCAGCCGCAAGAAGAAGCGGAGGAAGAAGAAGAAGGAGGTGGACCCAGGCCCCGAGCGCTGCCTGGGGGGCTCCACGGCCCCCCTGGCCCCCAGCACCGTCCCTCGCCTGCCCCGCCTGCCCCCCCAGCCCTGCCTGGTGGCCTTCGCCCCCGACGTCCTCCCGGGGCTCCCGCCCGGCCGGCCCGACGCCACCTTCTCCGGGGTGCCATGGGATGGGCACCGCAGAGCCAACGTCTTCCACCTCATCAGCAACCCCTTCTGCCCCGAGGGCGGGGCCCTGGAGGAGGAGAGCCCCGGGCGCTGGCAGCACAACGGGGGCCCGCTCTGGGCCCCCAACCCCGGGGGGCCGAGGACTCAGGGCCGCCGGGCCGGGCTGGCCCCCATCCACTCCCGGACCAACCTGGTGGACGCGGAGCTGCTGGACCCCGACTCGGACTTCTGAACCCATCCAGGCGTTGTGAGGGGATGGGTGAGACCCCAAAGCTCGGCCAGCACTGGCAGCCTGCGAGGGGACACCAGAACCCAGCTCATCCCACCAGGATCCATCCCGAGCATCCCGGCACGGCCCAGTTCTCCCATCGGAGCAGGTATTTCTCCCTCCATCACCCAGACTTGGTGCACGCCCCAGCCCGGCAAGAAAGGTTTTGGGGTTCCCTTCAGCATCACTGGGAGAAGAGAAACAGGCTGTCAGTGGAACAGCTTCCCCCCAGCTCCTGCAGGGATTTAAGGACAATGGGGACGCTCCCTTTGCAGGGGACTGGTGGGACCAGCGGCGGGCAAGCGTAGATCAGGGTAGGTTTTGGGGAGCTTCGTCCCACAGCTCTGCCCCACCCACAGCTAGAGGTACGTAGAGCTCACAGACGCTTGTGCCAATAGGGATTTTTGTGTTAAATGTCTTATTTTTTATTCTTTGTACGGGACTCTGGGCACGGCTCCGCTTGGGCGCTGCAGCCGGGAGCGGGTGAGCCCAGTCATGAGGCGACAGCAGCCTCATCCCTGGGGTGCACCCCTTTTTCTGGGCCCACTCCTCTTCCTTCAGGGGTCCCAAAGTGCCTTCCAGCTTCCCAGAGAGCTGAGCCAGACCCAAAGCAGAGGGTCGGTGGGAGATGGGAAGTGCCTTGGGGTGCACAGGCGCTCCCCGAGCCACGGTGCAAAAAAACCCCCAAAAAACTTTGAAACCTCGGGGTCTCCAACCCCCTGAGCAAACTTTTTTATTATTTTTTTAAGAAAAAAAAAAAAACATCCCAAGTTACAGGGAACCTGGCTGAGCCCCGAGGTAGGAGGACTCCGGTCCCTGCTGGTGTTTGTATCTGCCCGTTATCCCTGTTCCCGTTTTTATCAGGTCCCAGTAGGCTCCTGGACTTCTCGCTGTCCCAGTGACCTCCACGGGTTCTTTTTTTTGCTGTGTAAAGGAAAACCCTCCTGTATCAGTATTAAATTTACCAAGTTTTCATTCCCAGTGGCTGCTCTGGCCTCTTTGAGGAGGGGTCAGTGCGGGAAAACATCGGGGGGGGGGGGGGTGTCCTAAAAGCACTCCAACTATAAAAATCGCTAAAAGCTGCTTTAAAGTGCTTAAAACTGCTCTAAAGCACCTCAAAAACTGCTCTAGAGTGCTCTGAACCCCCCTGTTTCACCTGCAGAAGGCAGGGGCGAGGGGCTGGAAGTGCCCGTGGGTGCCACGGGGAGGTTTTTGGAGGCACTGGGTGGGCTCTGGCAGCAAAGGGGGAGCTCTGGCAGGGCCCTTTGCCAGCAGGTGGCACTGCGGGCTTAAATATCCCCAAATTCCGCTTTTGGGGGGCTGCTGGGTGCCTGGGTGGAGTCCCACAGGGCCATCTGATGTTTCCCGTGGCGCTGGGTGGATGGTGCTTTTTAGGGATTGGCGCTCCTTTGGGAAAAATATCCCTTTTTATTTCAGCTGGGAACGATGCAGCTGAGTGCTGGCTTAGCCCAGAGCCCAAACCCTAAAATTTGAGTGGAATTGGTCAGTGAAAATGGCATTTTCCCAATGTTTTTTGGAGAGCAGGATGGGCTGACCTCTCTCCAGAGTAAAGGCTGGGTTGTCCATGGTGAAACAAAATGTTTATCTATCTTTTAAATTGTTGGGGCCCTTTCTTTTTTTTCTTTATATATATCCATCTTTTTTTTCTTCTTCTTCTTCTTCTTTGGTCTCCTTTTATGTATTTAATTTTTGTAGGTTTCTATTCCTAAATGATTTGCCAATTCGAACCAAAAAGCTAAAATACTTAATTTTGGAACCAGCAGGAGATGTCCTGATGCTGTCACATGCCCTCTGTTTTCCCTCCCCCCAAAAAAACCAACTCAGTTTGCACACAGGGACAAAGCAGTGAGTTTTTAAGGAAGGAAAGAGCATTTATCCTGGGTAACACCCCATATTCCTCACTAGAGGCTTGGAAGATGGAAGCAGCTTGGAAAAATTGGGAGCAACAACCAAACCTATTTAAATAGTGATGATTTAAATAATGAGGGTTAAAAGGGATGAAACACCACCCATCAAGGGGACAAATTCAGCCAAATTCCTGATTCCTGCTTTTCCCTGGGAGCACTGAGTACCCACACCCAAAAGCAGGCCAGTGCTCGTGGTGGGGATGCTGCTCAGCATCAGGTTTTGCAGGAGAATAGGGATAACTGGGAATAAAAATGAAGAATAAGGTGGCAGGGAGGTGCCTTTGCCTTCCCTTTGCCACCTGTCCCCCCAGGGATGGGGAGCACACACACTGCCATGGGTTCCCTATGGAAACCCCACCCAGGGAACCACCTCAGTGGGACAGAGGGACAATCAGAAGGGAGAATGTTACAGGCTGGTATTGATTTCCAGTTTGGGATTATACATCCTGGCAGGGTCACAACTGTCTTTTGGCGTCCAGGAGGGTGCTGATGTCTCAAAGAACTGAAAAACTTCCCTATAAATCTCTTCTTTTCCCTGTTTTCCTCGTGCCTGGAAGGCTCAGCTGTTGCAGCGGTGCTGGGAAAAGCTTCCCTGCAGCTGGATCGCTGCGGGGCTGGAGGGCAGCCGGTACCATCCCAGGTAACAGCAGCCTGGCTGCTGCTTTAAAATGGGATTAGGGAGGTGAAAAGGATCCCCGTGGAGCTGCCCTGCCCTCTGTCACACACCTGGCTGCCGATCCCATACCCCAGCCATGATGGGGTGGAGACGTGTCCAGTCAGCACCGGGCGTTTTGGGTGTGCTGAGATCAGGGGAGGACCTTTTTTCCCGGGAAAAAAAAACACCTCCCCGTTTGAGGACCGCACCTTTAAAAGGGCAGGAGGGTGAAGACCCCGACCCGGGTGGGCGATGCTGATGCGAAGGGCCAAACTCGGGGTCAGGATTTTGCCTCGGTCAAGGGTGGGCAAAACAACCTGGCATTTTTCTGTCGGGCCGTGGGATCTGTGGCACCGGGAGAAGATGGATTCTGGAGGATTTCTGCCGGCTCCGGGTCAGCACAAGCCCCTCTCGGCAGCAGGAGCTGGGATTTGCTCGGAGCCTGCACTTGTCTCGCAGGGTCTATGGAAGGGGAGGGATATTCGTCTGCCACAGCTTCAAATCCCTCCCACAGCGGCTTTTCAAGAGCTCTGTTTTCAAAGGCCCCTTCTGAGACTGAAATCAGCCCCGAGGCCGAGTTTTCTGATCCTTGGCAGAGGGGGAAACGTGCTGTGGAATCGGATCCCGGTTTTGCTTCAGTAGGAAACAGCGTTAGTTCAGTAAAGTCGGGAATTCTCATCGCTTTCCAAGCGCAAAGTAATGTGCTGCTTCTCCTTTAACTTCAATCCCCCTCTCACATTCCTCCCATCGTCCTCTTCGATGCCTCGGAGCCCATTAAATGCTTTACAGCCCTTTCTTTGCTGAAATTCTCCTTTAGCTTCCAGGTTTTGCTGCTCGCTCCTTCCGTCGCTCCACTCCTCGATTTTTGGGGAGGTTTCTGTGAGCTACTCCTCCCCGCTCCCTCTTTTTTCTCCCTCCTTCCCCTCTCCCTCTGCTCTCCTCCAGGTCCTCCCAAACTCTGAGCTGCTCCGGGGCTTATAAGTGACTTAGATTGGGATTGGATACTCTGGATCATCACAATATTCCCAGTTGTTTGTGCTGAATGTTTCTAACTCCTGGCACTTCTGGTGGACCTGAAGCTCCCCTCTCCCAGGGCTGCTCTCAAAAGAAATGACAGTAATAAAAGGATGGCTTTGCATTCCTGAAGAGGCACGTTCCCAAAGAACTGGATTTAGAAAGGGCGGCTCGTTAGTGCCTTGTGCCTGTGGCGGGGCTTTGTGGTTAGCAGACCTGGCAGGACAGCAAGTTCCAGGCTCTGGATGCCACGCTCCCTGTGCCAGGACGCTCCTCCTTTCCATGGGTTTTCCTGGCACACCCAGCCTGGCTGACACTGCGGGGGGATGCGAAGTCTGATGACTCAGTCCAGAGAAGAGAACGGAGCTGGGGAAGGGTCTGGAGCAGCAGCAGCGGCTGAGGGAGCTGGGGGGGCTCATCCTGGAGAAAAGGAGGCTCAGGGGGGACCTTCTGGCTCTGCAAGTCCCTGCCAGGAGGGGGGAGCTAGGGGGGATCGGGCTCTGCTCCCAGGGAACAGGGACAGGACAAGGGGAAACGGCCTCAAGCTGTGCCAGGGGAGGCTCAGGTTGGCCACCAGGAGGAATTTCCTCATGAAAAGGGTGGTGAGGCCTTGGCAGGGGCTGCCCAGGGAGGTTTGGAGTGCCCAGCCCTGGAGGTGTCCCAGGCAGGCCTGGCCGTGGCACTCAGTGCTCTGGGCTGGGGGACAAGGTAGGGATGGGGCACGGGAGTGGATTCCATGATCATGGAGGTCTTTTCCAACAGTACAGATCCTGTGCCCGGAGGCTGAAACACTGAAAATCCACCAAAACGTGTAAACACCAACTAAACCTCTCTACCCGGGCGGGCGCTCACGCACGGCCGGCGCCTCCCGCAGGACTACAACTCCCATGGAGCCCCGCGCGGCGGCGCGGGAAGGTGCGCCTGGCCGTTGTGCCGCGGGAGCTGCCGGGAGCTGTAGGCGCGGCGGGGCGGGGCGCGGGAGGCAGGACTGCAGCTCCCATCGTGCAGCTTGGCCGCGAGGGCGGCGGGGCGGGCCGGGCCGGGCCGGGGCGGAGCGGAGCGGGCGGCCCGGAGGGAGCCGGAGCCGGAGCCGGAGGAGGCGGCAGCGGCAGCAGCAGCGGCGGCGATGTCGGTGCAGGTGGCGGTGGCCGCGCCCGCCGTGGAGCTGAAGGAGCTCGGCGGCCCCATGGACAAGGCGGCGGGGCCGCCGTGCGAGCCCGTGGGCGCTGCCGGCGCGGGGCACGGCGTGTCCTCCGCCGCCGCCTGCCCCGTGCCGGGCGCCGAGCGGGACGCGGCCCCGGCGCCCTCCGCCGAGCGGCCTCCGGGCAGCGGCTGCCCCGGGCTGTCCTCGGCCGCCGGGCTGTCCTCGGCCGCCGCCAAGGCGCCGCAGGCTTCGGCCATGAAGAGGAGCGACCCGCACCACCCCCAGCACCGGCACCGCGGCGACGGCGGCGGCGACAGCGGCGGCGCCGCGGCCGAGGCGCTCGTGAGCCCCGACGGCACCGTCACCGAGGCGCCGCGCACCGTCAAGAAGGTAACGGGGGGGACCGGCCCGGCGCTCGGGGACCGGCCACCGGCGGGGGGGTCCCGGGGTCGTGGGGGGATGTCCCTGTGGCCGTGCGGGTGCTCCAGTGCGGCGGCTGCATTTTGGGGTCGCGTTCTCCCGTGGCTGGGGGTCCTGTCTGTGCCTTCTCCCCCCGCCGTGTCTGTGCTGCGGGTACGAGTGGGGTGACACTGGGGGTGCGTGTCCATCCTGCTCCTGCACACCCAGGTGACACTGGGAACGTGTCCATCCTGCTCCTGCACACCCGGGTGACACTGGGGGTGTTCACACCCGGGTGACACTGGGTGCGTGTCCATCCTGCTCCTGCACACCCGGGTGACACTGGGGTTGCTCACATCCCACTCAGGTGACACCGAGAGCATTTACACCCCGCTCCTGCACAACTGGGGGACACTGGATGCCTTTACACCCCACTCCTGCATACCCGGCTGATACTGAGTGTATTCACAGCCAGGTGACACTGGGTGCGTGTCCACCCCACTCCTGCACACCCAGGTGACACTGGGTGCATTCACACCCCACTCCTGCACACCCGGGTGACACTGGGTGCATTCACACCCCACTCCTGCACACCTGGGTGACACTGGGTGCATTCACACCCCACTCCTGCCCCCCCACGGCGTGGGGATGTGTGTGGGAACCGCGGTATGTGAGCTCCGGGGTGTGTGTGGGTTCACGGCAGGTTCATGTCCCCAGGGTTATCTGAACTCGGTTGGAAATATGGATAAGGCCCAGATAAAACCCTTCCGAGCGCTGCTGGTGACGTTGGCACGCGGGGCACGGCCAGGTGTGTCCAGGCTGGGTGCTGGATATCCCTGTGCCTCGGGATGTAGGGCCGGGTCCGTGATTGCACCCAGCCCGGGCAGGTTCTTGGGGCGTATCCAAGCTCCTCCTGTGGATGCACCCACGGGCATGGATGCTCCCTGGAGTAGGGAGTGCTGTAGGTACAGCCAGGCACCCGCTGTGGGTGGATGTAGGGGAATGCACGTATCCCGCAGGCTCCCGAGTTGCTGGTGCCTGGCATCCTTCCCGTTGGAAGTCTCAGGGGAAGGAGTTTTTCCTCGTAGCGCAAGAACCTCTTGGGGGATGTCGGGGAAATGGTGTCCCTGTCATAAGGGGAACCTCCTGCCTCACTCCACCTCCATGCTGATGGACTTCCACCCTTTTTCCTCTAATGTTTCCTCTCCCTGTGGAAGACCAAGGGGGAGGGAGTTTGTCTCCATAACCATGATCTCCTTCTGTGTGGCTTCCCTGAAACTGGAGCCTCTCCTGGAGACTCTTTGGGAAGGAACACATCCCCACAAGGAGAGTCTGGATCAAGGGCTGGATCATCCCTTCAGGAATCCCTGCTGTGGGGTTCAGTTCCTCAATAAAGGACTGAAATTGTGGCTCCCATCCCCGGTGTCTGGAGCCCTCTCCGTTTGATATCCTAATTCTGTCTCTATTTTTAGAGACCCTCAGGGCATCCATGTTTCTCCTCAAATGTTCTTAGTACTTCTGAACTCCTCCCTTATCCCTCTCTGTTCTTTTTGTGTGTGTGTGTGTTAAACGACAAATAGGGGTTTCTCCCTGCACTCCTCTCTCCTGAGTTCCGTGGCGTTGGGTTCCATCAGTAAGCTGGGGAGGGAAGGTGCATCTTGGTGGGGTCAAACCATCTCCAGTCCTGTATCCCTCCCTGGATGCTCCCTGGAGTCCCAGCAGCAGGTGCCTCCTCAGGGCAGGGCAGGGCAGAGCAGAGGATGCCAGGCTTCCAGGAGAAAGCTGGATGAGGGGAGCAGCAGGCAGGAAGCTCGTGGAGCAGCCCAGCTCCCCAGCTGGCTCCTGTGGCGGGTGCTGGGTGTGTTTGGGAGCTGACAATCTGGCTGGTTGCTAAAGGAAGCGGGATGTGTTGTTTGGGGGATCTGGGAGTACAGACTGTTCCTTCTCTTCCCTCTCCCGGTGACTTCAGCCCGTGTTCCAGTGACTCCAGAGTGGCTGGTAGGCATTTCATTTACTGGATCCACAAATCCAGAGTCCTTCCCACTGCTTCTTGGGGAGTCATGGTATAAACCACCGGGTTTTGGGAGCCATAAAATTGTCCCCCAGGGCCTGTGACTGTAAAATCAGGCATGTGGAGCTGAAGCATCTGGGGAAAGAAGGTTTAGTGCAAAAATAAGCCTGAGAGAAGCAGATAAATAATTTTTTAAGTCAGATCCAATAGAACTTTGCTGAAATAAAGGTAAAAGTCTAGTTAAAATAGATTAAATTTGTTGTGAAACCATAACTCTTAGCAGTGTTTGTCTGGAAGAAAATCTCAGTAGGTTTTTCCTGACTGGTTTATTGTATTTTATATGGTTTATATCTTATATTTATATATTTTTCTTGGTTTTTTTTTTCCTTTCCCTGAAATTTTAACACACATTCTTGAAATACTGCTCCCCCAAATTTTGGTTTTGTACTTCTGAGACAAAACCAGAGTACCCAGAAAACAGCACTGACTCTTTTCTTCTAATACCACTCTCATTTTAAATCTTACTTCTATGCCAGTTTAGTGCTTATGTCTGTCTGCCTTTGGATGCTGTAATTCCTTTTTTTTTTTTTTTCCCTTGGTGGAGTGTAAAATAGGGAGAAGTAGGCTGTGGATAGATAATATATATGGAAAATATGTAGAGATTTTGTTTTTATATATACATGTATAGTAGTTATATATATATATAAAACACATATATATATATTTTATATATACACACAGTATAGGCGGTGCAGGGCTTGTCTCTGCCACCTGCGGGGTGATTCCCACGAGATCTCGGGGAAGATCAGATGTTCTTGTTGTTCCCTTTGGATCCTTGCAGTTGTTCCATGCTCTCCAGAAGGGGCTGGAATTCCTCATTTTTAAGGGGACACTGGACCTGTGGGTGTGTCTGTGGCCTCCACGGGTGTCTGTGCAGGGGGACGGAGCCAAACCCTGCTTGTTCCCTCTGTCCCCCTGAGGTGTGGGATCCTGGCCTGAGTCCAGCAGTTCTCCACACCCTCTCCTGGCCCCCCTGGCTCCAACATCAGGCAGCTCAAGCTGCCCCCAACTCCTCCCTTCAGGCTGAGTAAGTTTTCCACTGACACCATTCCGTCCGACGTGGGGTCGAGGAAGAGCCGGGAACGGGGCTGGGAGAAGCGTCACGGTGGACTGGGGTTAAACCACGGCCCAGGGGCAGGTTGGTGGGAATGGGGAGGATGGCAAAGCCTCTCCAGCAGCAGCTGGATGCCGGGTGCTGCCCTGGGCGGGCCGTGGCAGGGGGCTGGCTGAGTCAGGAGGTGCGTGGTGAGCTCTGCAGCTCCCGCAGCGAGAGGGGAACTGAGTAACAGCCTCAGGTGTCCCGGGCTCAACTCAGCCCTGCCTGTGAGTCAGGCCCTGAGTCACATGGATGGGATGCGATTTTGGGTTGAAATGTGGTGTTTTGATGAGGAGATGATCGCTCATCCGCTTTGGGGGGTTGGCGGCCACTTGTGTTAATTCCTTGATCGTTCCTCGATCAGGGCAGCTGAGAGGCACAGAACTTCTGGAAATGTTGCTGTTCGGGGGGTGGGAGCTGCAATTAAGGCTCTTTAACTGATGAACTGGGTGATCTCGGCCTTGTGATAACTCTGTGCCCCTCTTGGTTTCGCTGAGGGGAGAACCATGGAATGACAGGATGGGTTGGGTTGGGAGGGACGGTAAAGCTCATCCAGTTCCAACCCCCTCCCCCCACCCCCGTAAGAATAACTTCGATTTAAACAGATGCAGCTCCTGGTTTAATGATTCTAAAGTGCTTGGCAAGCCACGCTTTGTAGGCCAGTCAGGCTTTGTGACTGCCTGTACACCACACTGGGAAGGTTAAACAGCAGCCATTGTGTCGCTGCGAAGTTTCACATGAAGCAAATACCAATTTACAAAGCAAAAGGTTATTTTTTTTTTTTTTTTTCCCCGTGCCAGCCCCTCTGCACAAAGCCCAGGCTGCCTCCCTGGGTTTCAGGCCGTGTTCTTTTGCTCCTGAGCAGAGGTTTTAGGCTGGGGAGGGGCCGATTTGCTGGTGCTGGTGGGTCATTTGGTGGGCGCAACTCGCTCCTCCAGAGCTCCCACACCTCTGCAGGGCCCGGGGCTGCGGGAAGGGGTGGATTTTGGTGGAAGAAGCCGTGGGAGGGGGAAAAATAACGAGGTGACATCCTTGTGTAATGTCCCTGCTCGAGTAGAACCCTCCTGAAGCTGCTGAGCGTGAACCCCTCCGGTGCAGGGACTGCATCCAGATAAATGCCTGGTGCTCGCTGGGCTGGCACATCACCTGACCGGGAGCTGCCAGGGGAGGTTTTGTTCTGCTAAGACTATAAATGACTCTCATGTGGCTTGTCTAAATGATGACTCTGACCTTGGCTCCCAGCAGATTTCGCCGCCTGTGATGAAAGCGTCGCTTTTCCCGCGTAGCCGTGTGTGGATTCCCACCTTCTGTGGGGCAGAGGGACGGGGGTTCTCTTGGCTCCACTCAGGATTTCCCACATCGCTCTTCTCTTTGCTCCCTTTCCTCCTAACCCCCAGTGTGCTCACTTATGCCAGGTAATAAATGCTCCCCCCCCCCAGGGCTGAATTCCCAAGTGGTGCAGGTAATGAGTGTGGTTGGAATGCTATTTAGGAAAACCTTATCGAGGGGGGGCACATTCCTTGATGATGCGGGGTGATCACGGGCCATCTCCGGTGGTGGAGACGTGCGGGTTAATTTTAGAAGGTGCCTGGAACTGTGTGCTCAGATCGATTCCTCAACCTTTGGGACCGAGGCTCGGGAAGGGAAGAGGAGATTAAAGGAGGTTGGGGAAGAAGGGACGGGGAAATGATGGCTGTGAGCACCGTAAAATGGAACGGGGTGCAGTTAAGGAACCTCAGGCTTTGCCGCTGGGAAAGGCCATGGCACCGCACCTCTGCTCCTGTCTGGGGTCAAAATGAGTGCAGCACAGAAAGATCTTTGTGT